GGTGAGTACGGCGATTGTTTGTGATATGGGCTTATTCAATCCTGGGGGCAGCTTGCTTCCATCGACGATGTTTAGTCGACGCGTGATGGACGTAGTTGATGAAGATGAAGATCGAGATGAGATGTTGCAGGGTTGTTTGCCGAACATACTCGGTTTGGAGAGTGAACGGGAGTCCGATCCTTTGAAGGGGTACAAGTTGTACTGGGGCTCGGGTGATGAAGGTGGTGAGGGAATGGTAGGGGATTTGTTTCTTAGTAAAGCAAAATAATTTGGAGAAACAATACTCGCCAGTTTGGTCGACGAATTCCCACAGTGTCCACCTTTGTGAGGGTCCAACTGTGTCTAACATCGTGTGACCACTTCAGTCACCCATTTTTGGGTACCTATGAGGTACATCAATTCCTTGATTTAGGGTACCTTGGGGGTACCCATTCCGGGGTGGTATATGAGCTCCATACCAATACCATGGTACCATGGAATGGAAAACCCATACCATACCCCACTCATACCAATACCATGTTACCATACCATACCAATACCATGTCACCATACCATACCATGTCCTGTTATACCATACCAGATGGTATGATGTCACTTCATACCATCATACCAAAGCTGTCATAGGGTGTCTGGGGTCCTTTTCCAAAATATATAAATTATTTCTGCAGGCTGCAATACTGGTCCATTGGGTGCCATTTTTTGTGGGGTGGTTCTCCAGGTTTTTCCTAAGATATTAGGCTACAAATTGAGGCCAGATAGTCCAAACCATCTATTGAAAATGAGTTGAAATAGGCTTTATCCCAGCTTTCCAATGCATCCAAAGCCATTTAATGATACATATCTTTCCCAATCCTTTCTATTAGAACAATATTCATCCAAATCAAACAAAACCACATCTATTGTGATGAAGTGGTCATAGAGAAGAAAAGAAAAGTGGAAATGCTTTCAGGTTTTTGCTAAGATTTCCAATTCCAAGTGGAGGCCAGATAGTTAACTCCAACCTTTAAAAATCAGTTCAATTGAGGGTTTTTTCATTCCTGAAAAGCCATTAATATGAATGCTTTCAATAATAGGTTAAATATATTTTGCCCAGTAGGGCCAATCAGACAGTCCTGCCTACTTACATAGCATACACATATAGTATGGCCAACAACACCATCATATAATCTCAATTTTCTTAAACACTACATATGTTGGAATCAAGTATTGTTGTCCTGAGTGTTTGGCCAAAGTCTTCTTTGTCATAATATTTGGTCCAATTTATTGAAGCTAAGTGAATCTGTCCAATCCAAAGTCTTGTCAGAGTCTCCATTATCAAAATATTATACCATGGTATTGTAATCCCTTGTTGCACTCTCATACCATACCATACCA